CAGCTGCTGCGGGCTGCTTCCTGGGGTGTGTGTGTGTGTGTGTGTGTGTGTGTGTGTGTGTGTGTGTGTGTGTGTGTGTGTGTGTGTGTGTGTGTGTATGTATGAGAGAAAAAAAACAGTTGAGAGGCGCACCCAAAGAGCTACAGTTCAACCCCCACAAGCACAACTAGATGAATACACTCATCATAACCTGTGGAAACTCAATGTTAGCGAATGAGGCGAGGCGGCTGTTGGCGTGAATGACGACTGATCTGCAGTTTCTAGCTATAGGATCTCCCGATGACACCACACAGTGTCATCAGGAGAATGTAACACTGCAACAACACGGGCTCACCATAGCCCGTGCTACATGGAACTTTGTTCCAGGTAGAGAATCTTTAACAACAACATTTCAACACTCCATAGTTCGTTATTTAATTAAGTCTGCACCTCACTATTCCCGCTGTGACAACGATCCAGCCAGATTACTCGCTAGATAATTTAATGTTGTCATACGTCGTAATGGGGTATGCAGGGTTGCCAGATTCAAATTGCTAAAAGTAGCGAGCTGACGGTCTAAAAGTAGCGAATTTGTAATAAGAGTAGCCCAATTTTTTGTTTAGTGACTGATACGGGTTTCAAAGTAATCTATTATGATATATAGAGTACATTAAACGATTTTAATTGTTTTATTAACATTATCTCTGCATATATATATTTAACCAATATGATAATAGGATAACTTACCAATATTTACTGTTTGAAGCTTAATGGGTGTGAAGTCCTTCCACGTCTTTACAGTTGAAGATTACCAAGATCTTGATCTGCATCCACAACCTCGTTCTTGTATATTGCAGACTCATATTTAAGCATTGACATGAGTGGTTCAAATGACGAGCAACAAGTTACATTTTCTTCAAGATATGTTTTGATTCTCAAGACTGATGTCAAAAGCTCAAGTCCCATTCCCGTTCAAGATTTCTCAGTTTAGTTTTCACAGACGTTACTCTGGAAAATATCCGTTCAACCAGGGCATTACTGATTGGCAAGCTGTATATTTTCAACACAAACTCAGCGAGGTCAATCAGTATGGGATTGAAATCAATCAGTATATCTAAAGTGTCGGAAATTTGACTCCTGAGCGTGATTTTTGAGCCGAATTCTAACTCTCTGCACCTATTTTCGTTTTCAAATTACGACTTTTTACACCGAAAATATGCCAATTACTGAAAACGGTGATGGGTCATATTTTGCCCAAACCCCCCTGCAGTTTTCAAAATATCTGAAATGTCGGAAATTTGACTCCTGAGCGTGATTTTTGAGCCGAATTCTGACTCTCTGCACCTATTTTCATTTTCAAATTACGACTTTTTACACCGAAAATATGCCAATTACTGAAAACGGCGATGGGTCATATTTTGCCCAAACCCCCCTGCAGTTTTCAAAATATCTGAAATGTCGGAAATTTGACTCCTGAGCGTGATTTTTGAGCCGAATTCTGACTCTCTGCACCTATTTTCATTTTCAAATTACGACTTTTTATACCGAAAATATGCCAATTACTGAAAACGGCGATGGGTCATATTTTGCCCAAACCCCCCTGCAGTTTTCAAAATATCTGAAATGTTGGAAATTTGACTCCTGAGCGTGATTTTTGAGCCGAATTCTGACTCTCTGCACCTATTTTCATTTTCAAATTGCGACTTTTTATACCGAAAATATGCCAATTACTGAAAACGGCGATGGGTCATATTTTGCCCAAACCCCCCTGCAGTTTTCAAAATATCTGAAATGTCGGAAATTTGACTCCTGAATGTGGTCAATCAGTATAGGATCGCCAGCAGTGTTCTTGACAGTTATTGTCTTGGTCTAAAATGACGATTCAAATGTCGGAATTTGTCCCTTACAAATGTTGGACTAGTCAATGGTTAACAGTAGGCGCCACTGACTTTCAATTTCACTAAGCTTAGATTGGTCAGCTAATACTAACGGAAGTTCTGAAAATGGTGGCCATGTAAGCTAAGGCATATGATAGGTAACAGATTTTTCACCTTTTTTTATAGTTTCAACATTATTTAGAATACGAGAAAGAAGCTATTTGCAAGCTTTCATTAAAAAATTATCGCATCTTTCTTGAACATTTTGAAACTTTTCCTGGGTTGTAAAATTGTTTTGTCTGTTAGTGGCCAGAAGTGTTGAAAATTCGTAACCAAAGTCAACTTTCTCCAGGGGCAGATACATAGAATTGTAGTCCAAATTAACATGAAGCTTTGCATGATGAGGACGATAGATTCTTCTGAGTATTCCAAGAGTGAAGTTTTCTAAGACAGTGTGAAGGCTATACTGATCTGCTTCATCTTTTGATAAAGTAAATTCATCCTTTCAAAATCATTTAGGATTGGTTTGAGACATGTGAAATATAGCTTATTGGAGGGATCAGCGTACATTGAAAATAGTTGCCTTGCAACATATTTATCACAAGAGGAAAAAGCTATTTGGTAATGAGTTGTTAGAGAATCCCACTGATCTAACAGCCGCTTTACACTACCGCTCCTTGCCAACCATCGTCTTCCTGACAAAGGTATTAACTGTAAGGGATCTTTCCCATCATTTATCAATCTGGAAATTTCTAGATAACTTTCTCCCCTTAATGAAGATCTGTGGAACCAGGTGTAGCTTTTGGGATGAAGTATTATTAACAATTAAGGTTGGGAAATCTATTGCCCCTGGGGAGGATTACCTTGCCTTGCGGTTACTTTTTCTTTCAAAGGTTCCTAGGATCAACGTCCCCAGGGGCCGGTCTCTGACCAGGGCTGTCCTGCGGTAAGTGGTCTAGTCAATCAGGCTGTTGGACTCGGCTGTGATTTGTACAGATTATATTATTAAAGCATAAATAATCATCATTGAGTTTCTTAATATTAATAGCCCAACTTGCGTTTAAACTAGCCCAAAAAGTCGCAAGTAGCGAAATTAAAAATTTGGGAGCGTGGGGCTCTCAAAAGTAGCCCAATTCGCTACTTGTAGTCCAATCTGGCAACCCTGCCGCAGGGCTCGGCCAGGCTGGTCGCCCGCTCCCTTCATCACATTACTAATGCATTCTCTCTTTATAAAGTTAATTGAGCTCTACTCCATTAATAACCAAGGTTTCGTTTGTATATTAATTTAATCGCTAATTATGATACGAATAAATCATTGCTTTTGATATCAATTGATGATAAATTGTTTTTACAGGCTCACAATTTAGCCTAGCATATTACTGAGTAGTACGTTCACAAGATGATACAATATGATGGTTCTTTAATAACTCATACATACGCTTTCTAGTTCTGGTGTACGTCTGTTACCTGCTCCTCCTACAGAACATTATTCTTGTGGTAATAGGTTAGTTAATAAATGAGCTCGATGCGCTTAGTACAGTTTGAGAAAAGATATTGGTGGTCATTCGTAAAGTTGTCAACACAAGCCTAATTGTCACCAGTTTGAACACACCTGCGCAATGTTGTCAATTTTGAATGCTTGACTGGTCAGGATTCATTTAGGCCTTACATTGAATATATTGGATAATAGTACAAATAACAGTGAATATTTGCCACACCACAACACTCTCTACAACCACCACCGCCACTTACAAATCCTCTATAATTTTCCTCAATCTAAGCAGTTTTGTTTACATTTATTAAACAGTTTACGAGCTTCAAAACTTCACAATCCAAGGTTATCACTAATGAACAACCTTGAAATGCTCCAGCACCCATAAACCAACCTATCCTCGACTCAAGTCCATTACATTCAGCGGTCAACCCCACAGACGCATTCATAAATTTTAACATGCTGTTCATTCAAAACGGGAATTTTCTCAAGTATAAATTAATATTATAATATATTAGCATATTGTATATAAATAGGCATAGGTTAGGTTAGGTCAGGTGTTTAGGTTCTGTTGGCGATTATTTGTATTTGTAGTACGTGGGTGAAGCATTTATAGCGTTGTTCACTATTTACATATAAAATTACATATTCCGTTTTTTTTCAAGTTCTCTTGCCACTTTATCCCAAAAAACATAAAATAGTTCCTTTCATTCTACTTCCAATTTGCGGACCTCACACACTTCCTTGGCTTTCTTAACCTAACATATCTTGTCACCATTCCACGGGGCGCTAAGGTTCATTGGTTCAGTCTCATATACCAGTTCTCTCTTACTCAACTTCTTATACTATTGTTCTTTTGCGTCTTGAATGCTAATGAGGTACGATCAGCTTCGCACCACTTAAGATCTTATCTTACGTAGCACAAACATGTGATCAGACAACCTCCAGTTATTCCTCTGTTTTTTTTTATTTTATAATATAAAGCATTAGGACAGATCGAAACGTCGTCACTTCCTATTTACGGGTTATGTTACCACTTCCCAGCCACGTTATTGTGACAATTGTGGTTTAAGAGCATAAGATGTATAATTATATATATATATAATTTTAAATATTTTATATATACAACAGTTCTTACATTCTTGTAAAGCCACTAGAGCACTCATAGCTTTTCGGGCATAATGACGTCAGCGTCACCCGAATTCACTTACCAGATACAACTTGATAAGTGACTTTAAACTGCTGTATCATTCATTTTAGATTTGGAATTAATGATCAGGAAAGATTTATTATTTGCAACGAATTCCTTCAACTTTTTTCTTAAGGGCAATTTCATGATATAGATATTAATCAAGTGCTTCATTAGCCCCGCTCAACATTTATAGGTTAAATTCGCTTCATAATAAAATCGCTCACATATGTTGGATCAATACGCTACATATTAGCCTCGTTATACGCGGCAAATTAACCTCGCGTAACATATAGTGGATTATAAGCTACACATTAACCTCTTTCAAGATGCGTTGGGTCAATGCGTTGTAGCCTAGTGACTGTTGTTGTTGGAACAGTTGCCAGCGCCTCGTTACTGCCTCATAGCCCTTTATTGATATCTATGTTCTCCTCGCAACACGAAGGAAAATAAAACTATGTTCTATAAATAAATATTGGCGTCTTTATTATTACTTACAGTATATTACAATATTTTCTCAGGACGAATTGTGCTTTACAAGTAAGTGTACAACATTGTGACATTGACCAAAGGTATTGCAGGATAAAGACTCCTAGTGGTCGTGTGCATCCCACACGGGTTGCAATGAATAGAAAATATTGTTGGGAGCGAGGCGATGCATTACGCGTCCTCTTACGAAACCTCTACATCATCTTTTCTCAATTTCAGCGGCTTTGTTTACATTTGTTAAATAGTTTATGAGCTTTGAAACACTACGAGGTTAGTTTAGAAGAGCAATAACCTTGGGTTATGGAGCTTCAAAGCTCCGAAACTGTTCAATAAATAATAATGCCGTTATTATTGATAAATGATTTACAGGTTTCGTAAGTGGATGCGTAAATGCTTCACGAATCTTGGTTATTGAAGCTGTTAACACAAGCGACCTACACCACAAGGTTGACAAGCTTTCGTCCCAAGTTGGCAACACTTTACAAAGCAAAGTTCCAGCTGTTTCTGTGAGAATTCGCGTCCAGTTATTAAATGGTATAAAAGTATCACATTTGAATAGTTTTTTTGGGGGACGGGAAAAATATATTTTTTTATTTGCTACATGTTATTCTGAACAGTGCTAATATCTGCTATTTAATTGGATAGTAAGCCATCTATTTGCCCGCTAAAGTTATCCCGTTTAGGTTATGACGCAATTGCTGGTACCATAAAGCACAGTCCTAAGTGGAACATGCGGCGAAGCTGCGTCTGACGAAGCTTCACTGCAGAGCCAGAAGTGGCACTCACAGAGCCAGAAGTGGCACTCATAGAGCCATCTAGCGTGCCAGACTAGGCTCCACCTACGGCTACGTTTATGGTAAGGACTACGACCTAAGAAGCACCCCAGCAGATCCTCACCCCAAGTTAAGAGAAAGAAGCAACACAATCTCTACCGGAACACTGTATTTTGTGTCCGTTCAACTCCAGTAGAGATACAATAAATACCCACACGCATAAAGTTACGCAGAAAGTATAGGAAACTTGCAGAAGGCGAGGCCGGTGGGCGACACCCCTACGAGGCCTCTTAAGTGTAGTAGGCTGCAGAAGAACCTTGTTTCGTGTAGTCTAGAGGCAAGGAAAACTACTCGGATTAAAAAATTTAGACAAATAAACGCACTGGCCGGGATACCCAAGAGAACTCTTCAAGAGGGGGCTCCTACAGTCGTGGGAGTGTCATGGGTGGGAGCCTAGAGTCATCATTGGTGAGAGAAGGTAATTGTTGAGGGTCCCGGGCCGGCGTGATGGTGGTGGCCTCTACTCCCGCCCCTGCAGCACAGGCAACACTCCCGCCCCTGCAGCACAGGCAACACTCCCGCCCCTGCAGCACAGGCAACACTATACTGGCAGGAGCAGTTTCCTTTTGGCACAGCAATCCCGACAGTGCGCTCACCGCTGCTGGTGACGCGCCAGTGACCAGAGTAAGGTGGTCCTCTTGGATCATGAAATAAATATATAATAAATAGCGTTCAATAAATACAAGATCACTATGGGCATTAATTCAATAGAGACGAATCGAAGACCATTCTCGTGGCATCCACTTATATGGTATAATACTGGATTTACTCTCGTTTACATAATTGATGTATATGATGGCACGAAATTGTAACCAGACGCCAGAGTGAAGAGAGAACAGAGCGCGGGAAAGACCACCAGTGACATCCTCTCTTCAGGCCTGCTGGTGATGACAACTGTCATAGAGGTTCGCGTATGTATCAGAGATGTGGGTAGGGTGAATGTGGGTGGGTATTTAGGCATGGGTTTTGTCGGTGCAGGGGGGGCCATTGAAGGGCCAGTTGCAGGCTGTGATACCAGAGTCATAGACGATGGTGATGGGGCAGTCGAAGACGTGGAGAGTGAAGCGCTCCACCCAACGGTCCCAGTAGCACTCGTAGAACTTGTCGCAAGTGTCTGGGTGTCGGAAGAGCCCCGCGCGCTCGCACACCTCCGGGCCCAGGGTGTCGTCGAAGTCCCGTCGTCCACCTGGGCCGAACTTCTGCAACTTGCGTCCGGACGTGAGCTTGGCCACGAGTGAAGGTCCTCCGACAGCAGACTTCCTTGATCCTCCGAATCCAGCTCCTCTTCCTGAAGACTTACCAGCCGTCCCTGAGGGGTAGGGACCGCTCGGACCATCAGGTCCCACGCCACCCACGCCGCCCACGCCACCCACGCCGCCCACGCCTCCAGTGTGTCCAGGCTTACCTCGTCCACCTGATTCACCATTACCGCCATATCCACCACGACCTCCTGATCCTCCACTCCCGCCAAATCCACCTTGGCCCCCTGATCCTCCACTCCCGCCAAATCCACCTTGGCCCCCTGAACCTCCACTCCCGCCAAATCCACCTTGGCCCCCTGATCCTCCACTCCCGCCAAATCCACCTTGGCCCCCTGATCCTCCACTCCCGCCAAATCCACCTCGATCTCCTGATCCCCCACTCCCGCCAAATCTACCTTGGCCCCCTGATCCCCCACTCCCGCCAAATCTACCTTGGCCCCCTGATCCACCACTGCCTCCAAATCCACCTTGGTCCCCTGATCCACCACTACCGCCAAATCCACCTTGGCCTCCCGATCCACCACTACCGCCAAATCCACCTTGGCCCCCTGATCCACCACTTCCGCCAAATCCACCTTGGCCCCCTAAGCCACTACTGCCGCCAAATCCACCATAGTCTCCTGACCCACTACTGCCGTCAAATCCACCATGGCCCCCTGATCCACCACTACCGCCAAATCCACCTTGAGCCCCTAATCCACCACTTCCTCCAAATGCACCTTGAGCCCCTGATCCACCACTTCCTCCAAATCCACCTTGGCCTCCTGTTCCACGTAGGCCTCCTGATCCACCTAGGCCTCCTGATCCTCCGGAACTACCTGATCCACTACTACTTCCAGAGATACTTCCTCCATATCCATCAAGGCCTTCAGATCCACCACGGCCTTCAGATCCACCACGGCCTCCAGATCCTCCACGGCCTTCAGATTCACCACGGCCTCCAGATCCACCACGGCCTTCAGATCCACCTCGGCCTCCTGATCCACCACGGCCTCCTGATCCACCACGGCCTCCAGATCCACCACTTCCTGATCCAATGCTGAAGTGACTCGCCCCACTAACAGCACCATCGATTCCTGATCCACCAAATCCGCCATGTGTTCCACTGCTTCCATCTGATCCAGCATGCCTTGATCCACCGCTACTGCCACGTATGGCATGACCTGATCCACTGCCTCCTGCAAATCCACTGCTGCCACTTGACTCACTGCCTCCTGATCCACCAGTAATACCAAAGTGGCTAAGTCCACTTGTAGAAATTGCATCTACTGATCCACTTTGGCTCAGTGATCCACCACTCCCGCCATATCCACCACTGATGCCACTTGAACCACTGGCTCTTGATCCACCACTGATGCCACTTGAACCACTGGCTCCTGATCCACCACTGATGCCACGTGATCCACTGGCTTCTGATCCACCATAGCCGCTTGATCCACCACTAATGCTTGATTCACCATGGCCTCCTGATCCGCCAGTAATCCCAAAGTGACTAAGTCCACTAGATGAACCTCCTCTTCCTGATCCACTTTGGCTCAGTGATCCACCACTTCCGCCATATCCACCACTGATGCCACTTGAACCACTGGCTCTTGATCCACCACTGATGCCACTTGAACCACTGGCTCTTGATCCACCACTGATGCCACTTGAACCACTGGCTCTTGATCCACCACTGATGCTGCCTGAACCACTGGCTCTTGATCCACCACTGATGCTGCCTGAACCACTGGCTCTTGATCCACCACTGATGCTGCCTGAACCACTGGCTTCTGATCCACCACTGATGCTGCCTGAACCACTGGCTCCTGATCCACCACTGATGCTGCCTGAACCACTGGCTCCTGATCCACCACTGATGCTGCCTGAACCACTGGCTCCTGATCCACCACTGATGCTGCCTGAACCACTGGCTCCTGATCCACCACTACCACTAAATCCATCATAACCTCCAGAGCCATCATGGCTACCTAATCCACCACGTCCTGATCCACCCTCAATGCTAAAGTGGCTCACAGCACCAGAAGCTCCATTGCTACTAGATCCACCGCCGCCTACCGATCCACCAAGACCGTTAAATCCTGAACTGCTATATCCACCACTGCTGCCACTTGATCCACGGCTGCCACTTGATCCACGGCTTCCACTTGATCCACGGCTACTACTTGATCCACCACTGCTACCACTTGATCCACCGCTAATACCAAAGTGGTTTAATGCGCTAGAGGAGACCCCTGATCCACCACTGCCTCTGGATCCACTACTCCCAGATCCACCAGACGTGGCCTCTGACCCACTTGTGCTTCCATATCCACTACTGCCGCTTGATCCACTGCTTCTAGAACCACTGACTTTTAATCCACCACTACCTTCAAGTCGGCCATTATCGCCTAATCCACCACCAATACTAAAATGGCTCACTCCACTGGAGGAACCACTGCCTCTTGATCCACCGGTGGTGCTCAATCCTCCAGTTATACCTCGTGATCCACCACTGCTGCTGCTTGATCCACCACTGTGTGTGTACCCACTGCTGCTGCTTGATCCACCACTTTCTGATCCACCACGGCCTCGTGATCCGCCATGACCTCGTGATCCACCACTGCCTCCAAATCCACTACTGCCGCTACTTGATCCACTGCTTCCAGATCCGCCACTTACACTGAAGTGACTCAATCCACTGGACGCTACTTGTGATCCACTACTGGTTGTACTTCCTGATCCATCATTACCTGCGTATCCACTGCTGCTGCTGCTTGATCCACCACGGCCTCGTGATCCGCCATGACCTCGTGATCCACCACTGCCTCCAAATCCACTACTGCTTCCAGATCCGCCACTTATACCGAAGTGACTCAATCCACTAGACTCCCCTTGTGATCCACCAATGGTAGCACTGCCTGATCCACCAAGACCACGTGATCCACTACTACCACCGTATCCACCGCTACTACTATCACTTGATCCACTGCCTCTAAATCCACTACTGCTGCTGCTGCTTGATCCACCACTTTCAGATCCGCCACTAATACCGAAGTGACTAAATCCACTTGATGCTCCTTGTGATCCACTACTGGCTCTGCTGCCTGATCCACCACTGCCTCTGGATCCACTGCTTTCAAATCTACCACCACTAGCTACTGATCCACCACTAGCTACTGATCCACCACTACCTACTGATCCACCACTACCACCGTATCCACCGCTACTGGTATCACTTGATCCACTGCCTCTGAATCCACTACTGCTGCTGCTGTTTGATCCACCACTTTCAGATCCGCCACTAATACCAAAGTGACTAAATCCACTTGACGCTCCTTGTGATCCACTACTGGCTCTGCTGCCTGATCCACCACTGCCTCTGGATCCACTGCTTTCAAATCTACCACCACTAGCTGCTGATCCACCACTACCTACTGATCCACCACTAGCTACTGATCCACCACTAGCTACTGATCCACCACTACCCACTGATCCATCACTACTACTGTATCCACCGCTACTGGTATCAACTGATCCACTGCCTCTGAATCCACTACTACTGCTGGTGCTGCTTGATCCACCGCTTCCAGATCCACCACTAATACTAAAGTGACTAAATCCACTTGATACTCCTTGCGATCTACTACTGGCTCTGCTGCCTGATCCACCACTACCTCTGGATCCACTGCTTTCAAATCTACCACCACTAGCTGCTGATCCACTACTAGCTGCTGATCCACCACTAGCTACTGATCCACCACTAGCTACTGATCCACCACTACCCACTGATCCATCACTACCACTGTATCCACCGCTACTGGTATCAACTGATCCACTGCCTCTGAATCCACTACTACTGCTGCTGCTGCTGCTTGATCCACCGCTTCCAGATCCGCCACTAATACCAAAGTGACTAAATCCACTTGACGCTCCTTGTGATCCACTACTGGCTGTACTGCCTGATCCACCACTACTACCTCTGGATCCACTGCTTTCAAATCTACTACCACTAGCTGCTGATCCACCACTACCACCGTATCCACCGCTACTGGTATCAACTGATCCACTGCCTCCAAATCCTCTACTGCTGCTGCTGCTGCTACTTGATCCACTGCTTCCAGATCCTCCACTAATACCAAAGTGGCTAAATCCACTAGACGCTCCTTGCGATCCACTACTGGCTTTAGTGCCTGATCCACCAATACCACGTGATCCACCACTTCCAAATCTACCACCACCACCACGTACTGATCCTCCACTGATGTTGCTGCCACTTGATTCACTGCCTGCCGATCCACCACTACCTCCGTATCCACCGCTACTGATATCACTTGATCCACTGGCTCCAAATCCACTACTGCTGCCGCCTGATCCACTGCTTCCAGACGCGCCACCGATACCAAAATGACTCAATCCACTAGACTCCCCCTGTGACCCACTGCCGCCAATACTGCTTGATCCGTAAGCCTCCGATCCACCGAACTTAGTCGACTGGCGGTCTCCAAGTGACTGGACGCTGCTCCCTGAAGCCTGCGAGCCGAAGGGATCAAAAGTCTTGCCGCCAGGTGGAGGCTCGTAGGCATATCCCGAGGCCTGACTGCCAGAAGAACTGGACGAAAGACCTGAAGACCCAATAGAGAAGTGGCCAGAAGAACCAGACGAAATGCTCGAAGTGCCAGGGGAAAATTGGCTTACAGAACCTGACGAGAAGTGACTTGAGGAACCAGAAGAGCCAGAAATCGGTCCGAATGGAACCGAAGGCTCTTCGTAGGAATATCCGGTAGATGGTTTAAATTGAGTGGGTGTTGGAGTCGGCCTCGGTCTTCCAGGTTCGTATGGACTGGGTGTTGCCTTGAGGGTGGTAGCGGGGGAGACTGGGCGAGGCGGTCTGAAGCTGGGTGTGGGGGTTGGACGAGCTGGAGTTTGGTAAGTGGCAGCTGAAGTTGGGCGGGACTTCGGTCTGTAAGTGGTAGGGGAGGATGGCCTGGATGCTGGTTTGTAAGTGGTAGGGGAGGATGGCCTGGATGCTGGTTTGTAAGTGGTAGGGGAGGATGGCCTGGATGCTGGTCTGTAAGTGGTAGGGGAGGTTGGACGCGGGGAGAGCGGAGTTGATGGCTGAGTAACAAATGGACTGGCTGGGGTTTGGTATGAGTACCCACTAGATGAATCCTCTTCACTTGACGATGACCCAAGAGTGAATGGTGTCGTGGGTCGAGAACTTGAGTATCCAGGAGACGAAGACGGTCTTGGCGACCCTCCACTGGAAGAGCCTACAGGATCAAAAGGCCTCGACGGAGTTGTGTAAGAATAGCCGCCCGAAGTAGGACTTGCGGGTGTGGCCGAAGATGTTGGTCGTGCAGTACCGCCGCCACTTGCTGATCCACCACGTCGTGATCCACCACGTCGTGATCCACCTCTGTCTCCATATCCTCTGCTACTAGTTGATCCACTGATGTCACTTGATCCACCGCTCCCTGATCCATCGTGTCCTAGGGAGCCTCTACTACTTTCGAATCCACCACTGCCAACAGAACCTTGCCCTGATCCAATACTACTGCCTGATCCACCATGTCCTCCTGATCCACCACTACTGGCAAATCCATCACTTCCGCCTACTCCACCACTTCCTCCTGATCCACTACTGCCAAATCCACCACTACCCCCTACTCCACCTTGTCCTCCTGATCCACCAATACTGCCAAATCCACCACTACCGCCTACTCCACCATGTCCTGATCCACCACTACTACCAAATCCACCACTTCCGCCTACTCCACCTTGTCCTCCTGATCCACTACTGCCAAATCCACCACTACTGCCTACTCCACCATATCCTGATCCACCACTACCCCCTACTCCACCTTGTCCCCCTGATCCACCACTACTGCCAAATCCGCCTACTCCACCTTGTCCTGATCCACCAATACTGCCAAATCCACCACTACCGCCTACTCCACCATGTCCTGATCCACCACTACTGCCAAATCCACCACTTCCGCCTAACCCATCTTGTCCTCCTGATCCACTACTGCCAAATCCACCACTACCCCTTACTCCACCATATCCTGATCCACCACTACCGCCTACTCCACCACGTCCTCCTGATCCACCACCACTGCCAAATCCGCCACTACTGCCTACTCCACCATGTCCTGATCCACCACTACCCCCTACTCCACCTTGTCCCCCTGATCCACCACTGCCACCTACTCCACCATATCCTGATCCACCACTACCGCCTACTCCACCGTGTCCTCCTGATCCACCACTGCCAAATCCACCACTACCCCCTACTCCACCGTGTCCTCCTGATCCACCACTACTGCCAAATCCACCACTACCGCCTACTCCACCATGTCCTGATCCACCACCACTGCCAAATCCACCACTTCCGCCTACTCCACCTTGTCCCCCTGATCCACCACTACTGCCAAATCCACCACTGACACCTACTCCACCATGTCCTGATCCACCACTACCGCCTACTCCACCACGCCCTCCTGATCCACCACTACCGCCTACTCCACCATGTCCTGATCCACCACCACTGCCAAATCCACCACTACCCCCTACTCCACCGTGTCCTCCTGATCCACCACTACCGCCTACTCCACCACGCCCTCCTGATCCACCACCACTGCCAAATCCACCACTACCGCCTGCTCCACCACTGCCAAATCCACCACTACCACCTGCTCCACCACTGCCAAATCCACCACTTACGCCTACTCCACCTTGTCCCCCTGATCCACCACCACTGCCAAATCCACCACTGACACCTACTCCACCATGTCCTGATCCACCACTACCGCCTGCTCCACCACGTCCTCCTGATCCACCACCACTGCCATATCCACCACTTCCGCCTATTCCACCACGTCCTCCTGATCCACCACCACTGCCAAATCCACCACTACCGCCTGCTCCACCACTGCCAAATCCACCACTACCGCCTACTCCACCTTGTCCCCCTGATCCAGCACCACTGCCACCTACTCCACCATGTCCTGATCCACCACCACTGCCAAATCCACCACTTCCGCCTACTCCACCACGTCCTCCTGATCCACCACCACTGCCAAATCCACCAGAGGAAGATAGAGACTGTGAGGTGCTGGGAGAGAAAGAAGTGGGGGACTTGTCGGGGCCAGAATAAGAATACCCAGCGGGTGTTTTACTGACTGGAGACCCACTGCTGGGGGAGAACACTGTCAGGGCTGACGTTACTGCTGACCCGGAGGTCGATGGGCGGCGCGAAGTCGCTGGGCGGCGCGAGGTCGATGGGCCGCGCGAGGTCGCTGGGCGGCGCGAAGTCGAAGGGCGGACAGTTTGCTGGGGTTCGGAGTAATCATATCCAGAGGTTGTTGAGACAGGTGAGGCGGGAAGGGTGTCAGTGGCGGGTGTTCTGTGGCCGCTGGAGCCTCTGCTGCTGGAGACTGCGGAAGGCAGCCCTTGTGAGGGGCGAGAGTAATCGTATTTCTCGGCTGCTTGACCTCCTGAGGAAGTACCGCGGCCATCCAACTGATCTAAGGATGAACCGAAGGCGCCAGAGCCAATACCCGTGCTACCCTGCTTTCCGCGCCCGCGAGAATGTCCTCTTGACTTGGTGCCCGAGAATGTGGACTGTTCCGAGGACACGAAGCTCTTGTAAGACAGTCGCTCGTTACTGAGTTCGGCAGAAACTATGATGCCTTTATCGACGTCGTACACGCCCTTCCCACCGATCGTCATCTCAACAGAGCTGCAGTCCGTGCAGCTCTCCCTGCCTCCCTCACGAAGACTCTGGGTCACTGCACCGCTGCTCGCTATGTTCTTGCCTCGGCCAAACCCACCTGTTGCTATGGCATCCACCCGCACCGGTACTGCGCCCGCTGCCACGCCATAGTCGCCGGGAGCCTGGCCACTTAGTCCACAAGAACCTACTAGCCAGGGCCAGTTGCAGATACCGTTATCTTCATCGTAGGCAAGACCGAATGGACACCTAAATTCATACTGTAAGTAAGTGTCGTTGCCGTAGTAGTCTCTGCAAGCGAAGAACCAGCGACAGTTCTCCGGGTCTGTGAAATACCCTTCACCTGGACAGACAAACTTCTTGCGGGGCACCGGGAAGATCTCTGATGATCCGTCGCAGGGAGGAGCCGCCGAGGGCCAGGCGCAGATCTCCCAGCGGTCGTCAAACACCAGGCCGTTGGGGCACGAGTACTCAAAGACGGTGAAATCATCGATATATTGGTTAAACTTTACGCAGCGATAAAACTGGGAACAGTCAGCAGGGTCCCGGTAGTAGCCCTGGCGGGAGCACTCGAACCGGCTGTCAGAGGCGTCTCTGTTGAGGGGGAGAGAAGTGTGAGAGTCACATACTGCACCAGCCTCCATGCTGAGGAGAGCCTGTAGCTTCACACTTATCTATATTCTTACATGCATAAACAAAGCCCGCATATATATACAGGATGTCCCAAAAGACAAAGGGAAAACTGGCTTTTATTTTACATTATTTGTTTTGTTTACATGTAGTATGCCAGCAATATAAAGTTTATCTTTTAATCTTTCTAGCAGAATCAAATATAAGAAGGTTCACTGGAAGGGAAACGCAGCATTAACATAATACTGTACAATCAAATGGTCGCGTTCACTTTACTTCAACAGAGATAAACACTTCAGGAAAATGAAGCATAGAGAGGAGGGGTGATAACTCACCTGAAGGCTTTGATGGCTCCTGTCCTGTCCACCACGCGGACTATCTTGTAGGGAGAGTTGCGCAGGTCCCCGCGAGTAGCGACGGATACGGAGTTGACGGACGACTCTGCGGCCTCCAGGTCGTCCACCAGACTCTGCAGAAGGGCTCGACGTGGGGTCCTTGCCAGCTGCAGTACGGAGGCTCACGTTACATGGGACGGAGTGTGTGTGTGTGTGTGTGTGTGTGTGTGTGTGTGTGTGTGTGTGTGTGTGTGTGTGTGTGTGTGTGTGTGTGTGTGTGTGTGTGTGTGTGTACTCACCTATTTGTGCTTGCAGGATCGAGCATTGACTCTTGGATCCCGCCAGGGATCCAAGTGTGTGTGTGTGTGGATCCATGTGTGTGTGTGTGTGAGAACACACGAACACGTAAATTAGCATCAACACAACAAACTGATCTGGGCGTTCCTAAGCCATTTGAGCTTAACAACAAAGTTAACATGTTCCAAATATATCCTACACAATAAATGAAAACAAAGTATGATCAAAGGACCTCGTATGGCTGAGGGCAGTACCTGGGTGAAGGTGTCGTAGACGGAGGAGAGGATGGGGAAGGCGCCCTGGCTGCAGGAGTCTCGCCAGTCATCATGGCGGAGGTTGTGAAGGGCGACGCCGGCCAGACCCCTCAGGAGCACATACTTGCTCTGCTCAAGAAAGTCTCCATCAGCCACTAGCTCTCCAATCACTCTTTAACAATATTATTAGCTACACATGAAGGCAAAGTGATACGGTGTTCAGTTCTATTTTTCGAAGGAAAGCAAGACCTTAATCCTGATCAGACTGTTAACTACAGTCCCCGTTGGAGAGGTGTACAGGTCTCTATACATTATACACCAAGCAAACCTATAACATTGTCAAGCAAACCTATAACATTGTCAAGCAATCCTATAACATTGTCAAGCAATCCTATAACATTGGAACTATGAGATGCACAAGACTAGAAACTATTGACAGTCTTCAAAATGTCAAACTACGTGAATGGTATGCCTTTACTGATGGTTGTATACAATTAAGCACAGGTAGAACAGGTTGTGCACGTGCATTAGCTACAGCAAATGAAGTGAAGGGGTCAAGTACACGACAAAGACTGACCTTCCGGATATTTATCCAGCCACTGACTACCTTACACACAATGGTGTGCAGTGATGTGTTCCTCACTCTATTAGTGCTCTGCAGTCTCTAAATTACCCATCACAATGAATGTCTCGTGTAACTTATAATATTAAATGCAATGTGATTTTTGACACTGACAATAACATTCGCATTAAATTTACTGGAATTCTATTCATATTGGAGTTGCAAAGGATGACTTTGCAGATCTTGGTAGCGAGATGTGCAAGAAAATAATACAGATTATCGTTGGACTAACTATTGCAAATTTTAAAAAAATATACAATAAAATGACTACATCAGTTTGAGAAGAACTAAGAATTATTTGAAAGTGACATTTAAAAACTAAGAAAAATCTTGTAATAATAATAATAATAATAATAATAATAGTGAGGTATTTGTGTGTCAGCAAAGTAATGGTACGAGGCAGCATGGTGTAGTTTTAGCTACAGGTCCCACCGGTCACAGTTACTGTGGCTGAACCATGGCTACAGGTCCCACCTGTCACAGATACTGTGGCTGAACCATGGCTACAGGTCCCACCTGTCACAGATACTGTGGCTGAACCATGGCTACAGGTCCCACCTGTCACAGATACTGTGGCTGAACCATGGCTACAGGTCCCACCTGTCACAGATACTGTGGCTGAACCATGGCTACAGGTCCCACCTGTCACAGATACTGTGGCTGAACCATTGCTACAGGTCCCACCTGTCACAGTTACTGTGGCTGAACCATGGCTACAGGTCCCACCTGTCACAGATACTGTGGCTGAACCATGGCTACAGGTCCCACCTGTCACAGTTACTGAGCCTGAACCATGGCTACAGGTCCCACCTGTCACAGTTACTGAGCCTGAACCATGGCTACAGGACCCACCTGTCACAGTTACTGAGCCTGAACCATGGCTACAGGACCCACCTGTCACAGTTACTGAGCCTAGACCATGGTTACAGGTCCCATCTGTCACAGTTACTGAGCCTGAACCATGGCTACAGGACCCACCTGTCACAGTTACTGAGCCTGAACCATGGCTACAGGACCCACCTGTCACAGTTACTGAGCCTAGACCATGGCTACAAGCCCCCACTTGTCACAGTTACAAGAGTAGACTATAAGACAATTGAATGAAATGGTTGTGAATTAAAGGAGCTATATAATGTGTTACGCGACGGGGTGTTTCTGTCAGCAAGTGTTGTATGCCTGGTATGGCTGGTAAGTAACTAAGTAAATAATCATCAAAAGAAGGCACCAAGAGGTATGGCTGGTGACGCCTGTGGCTTAATAGGTCTCTTGTAGCATGTGTGGTCCGTTGTCTTGTGTGATGGTGACACTGATCACTATTGGAGCCAATTCCCGCCAAACACACACCGAAACTACGACGTTGATACAACGTTTGAACACGTTTTAACACCTAACCGGTTATAACAACCAATATAACAAGTTGTAACAACGTTCTAATACGTCATAAACACGTTAAGCCAAGATGTAACAAGTTTATTACAAGTTGTAACAAGCGGGAAATAGAGACAGTTACGGTTTGTGCTTCCAGGGAAGGAGCCCAGCTGATGTTGTTGTTTAAGATTCGCTACCTGGAACAAGAAGTTCCAAGTAGCTCGGGCTATGGTGAGCCTGTATTGCCCAGCTGATAAACTTAAGTGTTGGGTGTCTTGATATACCTGGTATAGATGTGTGTGTGTACAGTATATGTGCAACAATATGTACTTGGCGTCCGTTGATCAAGTATTCTGACGGCAGCTGATCTGGGGAAAGGCCAGATTCACGAAGCAGTTACGCAAGTACTTACGAACGTCTACATCTTTCCTCAATCTTTGACGACTTTGGTTACATTTATTAAACAGTTTACAAGCATGAAAACTTGCCAATCAACTGTTGTTATTGTTATAAACAGCCTCCTGGATCTTCGGAGCTCATTAACCGTTTAATAATTGTAAACAAAGCCGCCAAAGATTGAGGAAAGATGATACAGGTTCTTATGTGCTTGCGTAACTGCTTCGTGAATTTGGAGCCTGGGTCTCTTATTTAATTGCTTCCCTTTACCATTACCATTTACCGTATTTTCCCGAATCCAAGTAAATGGAAATCAATACCTGTTCTTACGAACTGCAAAATCCCAACTGTCCGTCGCGGACGGCTCCTGTTCCGAGTCTTGCTTCATAGGAACTTCCACTTAGGTCGTCTTAGCTTTCAAGTTTCGTATATTAAGTGTTTGCTCCTTCCCCCCCCCCCCCCGCCGTGTCCCATCCATGCCAGTGTGTACTGTTGCCTCTCCTATGTTAATGTGTTTGTGTCTGTCCCTTCAGTTAACCACGTACTTTATTAACTTTACTTTATTACCACGTACTTTATGTGGCAGGGGCGGTCAGGCCCCCCTGCCACATCTCGTGTGCCGGGCCCCCCTGCCACACCTCGTGTGCCGGGCCCCCCTGCCACACCTCGTCTGCCATACTGAAGTCTCCCTCTGCCAGACGCACCGGGCTTGTGTCATCTTCTGACAATATAAAACTCACGTCGCCGCGTCACAAACATCGGCCCGCCGGCGTCACTCCAAGAGTCGCGTTGATTACCAGTCGTCTACTACATCAGTCGTTTGCTATCACCAGTCACGGTGACCACCAGTCATTTCACCTGGTCCCCAGTCGCCGTCGTCGTGGTCGTGGTCGTCGTGGTGGTGGCCAGCAGCGTCGCAAATGTGGTGTCATGGTGGTGGTGGTGGTAGTCGTTAAGGAGTCGTGCTCCCCCACCTTGATCTTAACGCTGGTGGCGTCGTCGAAGGCGAGCCAGGTGGTGTTGGAGAAGGCGTAGGGCCCCGTGAGGTCCTCGTCGCGCTCCACCGTCCAGTTGCCGCTCGCCATCATGACACACGCCTGGGGAGAACGCACCACGTCAGCCCCAGACTGCTTCACCCAGCTCTACGCCTTCCTTCCCCCCACCCACACCAACACAAGTATATATAATTAATGCCAGAAACAGGACAAGAGAGAGAGAGAGAGTAGTAGAGACCTGCGAGTATGGGGTGAAGACTGGAGTCTTCAGGGCGGAGGCGCCGACGGAGTTGTCGTCTTGGTGCTTGAGGGTGAAGAGTGCGGCTGTGGTGGGCACTCCCAGCACCAGGCGCTCCAGGGGCACTCCCAGGCTCACCACCAGGTCCACCACAGAGTCCTGCGACGCAGACATTGTTAAACACGCGCCACACGGGCAGGCGGGACACAACCCACTACACCAAGTTATTGCATAATAAATAAAATAACCACTAGTGATGGTAGTGCATGCAGTGGTGGTGGTGGTGATGGTGGTGGTGGTGCATGCAGTGGTGATTGTGGTGATGGTGGTGGTGCATGCAGTGGTGATTGTCGTGATGGTGGTGGTGGTGGTGCATGCAGTGATGATTGTGGCGGTGAATGTGGAAAGGGGTGATTAGTGGTGGTAGGGGAGGGTGATGGTGGCGATTGTGGTGGTCGTGAAGGAGGGCGAGTGAGGTAGGGGTGGGGAATGGTGATGTTTGGAGCTGTATGGTGATGTTGTGGGTGGTGACGGCTGCGGGTGAGGGGGGGGGGGGCGGGTGAAGGAGGCTCACAGCGTTGTGGAGGTCGGAAACCCCCATGAGGCGAGAGTGGTGGAAGGTCTGGATGGCGGCGTCAGGCCTGGCGACCTCCTCCTCCGTCAGGTTGTGGGTGGGTAGGCTGAAGAGGTCGACGATCCTGCGGGGGGTAAGGGAAGACACGCCCATGTCAGGTCTGGTCGATCTTGCTCTACAGCCTCGAGCTACACCTTCCTTCAGTCTTGGCTCTCGTGCCAGACATTATTTTGTGTTGACTCTTAGGCACCTTGGCTCATAAACTCACACGCACCAGGAGATACGATATGATAGAGCACTAGACGACTGCTGAACTGAAGGTGGAGCTCGGTAACTGGAACTCAATCCAAGCAGGTATAACTAGGTTAGTGCACACACACACACACACACACACACACACACACACACACACACACACACACACACACACACACACACACACACACACACACACACACACACACACACAGCCTAAACAGACGATAGACTTGGTGGAGTCTTAAGACAAGTGAGAGCATACACCTACTTGGCCAGTTCCTTGAGGTCGTATCCCTTGACGATGTACTCCGGGGAGGGGGAGAGGGTCATCATGAGGAGGATGGTGTGGGTGGTGGAGGCTGTGGGGGTCGTGGAGGCCGTGGGGGTCGTGGGGGTCGTTGGGGTCTGCTGGGGTCGCCTTCTTCTCCCAAGACGTCTCACCGCTTCACCTCTAACCCGCTGCCCTCTTTTGCGCGCCTTGGCCACCTTGGGTGTGGCGGCCAGGGTGGAGTGGGTGGGCTTGGCGGTGGTGAGGCTGGGGTGGTCCTCCACCTTGAAGTAGTCCTTGGAGACAAACATTATTTCTTAAGTTTTGATGTGTGGAGGCAGTTTGCGTTATATACATATTTTTGTCGTGAATATCTGGTTGTAAAGCGTAATAGTAATTAGGCACAGATGAGTTCTACATGTGAGAGACGCAAAAGACGACGCAGCGTCAGTTGTCACACTGCGTCACGCAATGATAATACGACAGTAGGAGAAGTGAGGCGGAAGGTTAACAACAAGAGTACTGTGAGGCTACGAGATGGCCGCCGGTGTACGGGCAGCAGAGACTACAAGGCGGGAGAGACAGGCAGTGTAGAGACATACGCCAGCACCAGGCGCGCGGGTCTTCCTCAACACCACCAGAGACACACACAGCGGTGGGCACCGAACTGTGTTGAGGTGACCACCCGCCTGACGCCGGAGCCTGTGCGAGCCACACCCACACACCGTCTACGAGAACAACAACAGTCTACGAGAGAGTGATACATCCTGCAGAAGGCGGGAAGGTGCGGGGTGGCGTGAGGTGAAGACCCGAGGCTACGTTGACTGACTGTATAACTCACTCTGAACTTGACCCGCCCACGGTACGGCCGTTTAGGTGACTTTGTGTTGTTCTTGCCTTCCTTGTCCTCTGTCTTCTCCTTATGTGAGTGGTGTGTCACCTGGAAGCTTACCTCAGCGGGAGTGGGCCTGAGCGTCACCTCGTACTGGGAGCCGGAGTCCAACTCCGCGTAGTCTGACCCCGAGCTGAAACATCCAATGTCTCAATTAGCACAACACTCTTGCACGGTGAAGTTATTAATCCATAGAAGGCACCATGTCTCGAAGACTATGTTGCCCCGTCGCCAATGAAATCATAGTCCGCTTGATCCCAATGGACTACTCGAAACATGTACCCATTATTTATTATTTGCATTTACTATTTGTGTCTGCAAAACCGAGCTATTAGCCTCTCTAATCCATCTATTTGTCCTCTATTATGTCTACTATATATATTTCTCTTTAACACACTTTACACACACTTTCACACTTTATACACACTTTTGTATACACACTTCCAAATGTAGACATGATAGAGCCCAGTATCATAGACTGTGCAGTTTATGAAAGTTGAGAGACGGGACCAAACAGCCAAAGCTCAACCCCCGCAAGCACAACTAGCTGAGTACACACACACACAAACATCCCCAGGAAGCAGCCCGTAGCAGCTGTCTAACTCCCAGGTACCCATTTACTGCTAGGTGAACAGGCGCATCAGGGTTAAAAAAAAAGTGTATAGGGTTAAAAAAAAAAACTTTGCCCATCTGTTTTCGCCTCGGCTGGGAATCGAACCCGGGCCCTTAGAACTGCGACCTCCCACCCCCTCCTCCCCCCAGCGCCGTCCACTCAGGCGCGAGGGCTCCCCAAAATTACTACGTAAACAGAAGGACGGATTGTTTTCATTCACAGGGTTATTCATTCCCAAACACGGTGGCACAGGATTAATCACCATTTGGCCTTTGTTGATGAGGTCGGGGGTGATTATACGGTGGATTACGAGGCTGGAAAAAAAACTCACCGCCCAACGTGGGGCTCGAACCCACGACCCCGAGATTAAGAGTCTCGTGCTCTACCGACTGAGCTAGCCGGGCTTGGGAGACAGTGGCTCTGGGAGCCCCACAAGAAGCACCCACAGTGTTCTTACATGGGGTGCTGCACCTGTAGTGGCTTACTGAAGCAAGTCAAGGATGCATCCACCAACATCAACTCTTATATCACCGAAAACTGTACGGTGTTTACAGCAATGAGCGGGAGCGGGAGCACGTGCGCATGCGCCCTCCTGCCCCCTGGCCCATGGCGGGAAACACTCTTCACCTCTTATCTTAATTTTGTATTGAATTTCATTTAATTTAACTGTTTATTTTTAATATTTTTTTGTTTACCTCCATCTATGATGCATATATACATTCATTATTACAACACGCAGACAACTTTTTATCTTGGAAACTTAAGACACAGAAAATATGACATTATTGAAGCGTAAGCTGAGACTTGCCTGTCGAGCTCCAGCTGTGGCTCAATGGTGGTCAGTCCAGCGTCGTCACCTTCCTCTGTCACCGCCTCCGTCACCTCCTCCAGCAGGGCTTCCGTCGGGTCGTCTTGGGCTGCTCTGCGACTCACGCTGTGGACTCGCTGGTCCAGAACTAGTCGCAGGACCTGCAGGAGGATCACCGTCAAAAGTTACACAGGAGCCGAAGGATATCACCATTAAATAAAATACACATCCAGGTCTATAAACTCGCTAAGTTTACATTGATGGGAACATCACAAGTGTTGACATGGAGACGGGAATATGGAGAGGCTGAGTGAGTGAGTGTGTGTGTGTGTGTGTGTGTGTTTACTAGTTGTGTTTTTGCGGGGGTTGAGCTTTGCTCTTTCGGCCCGCCTCTCAACTGTCAATCAACTGTTTACTAACTACTATTTTTTTTCCCACACCACACACACACACCCCAGGAAGCAGCCCGTGACAGCTGACTAACTCCCAGGTACCTATTTACTGCTAGGTAACAGGGGCACTTAGGGTGAAAGAAACTTTGCCCATTTGTTTCTACCTCGTGCCTCGTGTGTGTGTGTGTGTGTGTGTGTGTGTGTGTGTGTGTGTGTGTGTGTGTGTGTGTGTGTGTGTGTGTGTGTGTGTGTAGGAGGGTGTTGTGAGGGGCCCTCCACACACCAGGGGGCCCCCACCAGGGGGGATCCCAGTGAGGGCAGGTGTATATAGCTACCGTGAGGGCAGGTGTGTATAGCTACCTTCATGAGCGTGGTAAGGTCGTCCTTCTCCTTGTGGCCGCCGGCGGCGCCCGGCCAGCGCCAGTCCACTTCGATGCCGTCGAGATCGTTGGCGACCAGGAAGTCGAGGACGCCCTTGGTGAAGTTGGCCACGCCGTCGACGGACGCCGTCAGCAGCGAGAAGGTCTCGCTCTTCACCCTGTCTCCTCCCACGGACACCACCACCCTCAGGTCCGGGTTCTTCTCCTTCAGCGCCTTCACCTCCTTCATGTCTGGAATACGGGAGGTCGAAGTTGTAGGTGATAGTGAGGGGCAGGTGTAGTGGTACTCCCACATATCCAGCAGGTGTAGTGGTACTCCCACATATTCAGCAGGTGTAGTGGTACTCCCACATATCCAGCAGGTGTAGTGGTACTCCCACATATTCAGCAGGTGTAGTGGTACTCCCACATATCCAGCAGGTGTAGTGGTACTCCCACATATCCAGCAGGTGTAGTAACTTTGTTTAATAAAAAAAAATACCTATTTAACTTGAAGCGGAAGTATGCGAGGTCACCTGAACTGATGACATAGTCTAATGGGACTTTTATGGACTTCAAATAATTAAGGAGGCAAGGTAATTAACAAGAGAGAGGACTGACACTGATATGGCACTTAGAAGACATATGAGGACAAGGGGGGGCTGGAATAAGACGTTGGGAAGGTATAATGCACACACACACTCATTGACCATCGAGGATCGAACGTAGACCTGCAAGACGGGGCGAGGCCTCCGTTGTACCGACGACTCCAAGTGGGTGTAATGAAATGTGCCACGAATCTGAAGACTGTTCCTACTGTTTAGAGAGCACTTTAGAGAGAGAAAGAAAGAGAGAGCACGATTATATAACACTTTGAATGGGTCAGGATAAGGATTTGGGATGGGACGGAGGGAAAGGAATGGTGGCCAGGAGGCAGAAAGATATACACTTACCAGTGAAGAGAGGCGCTTGAGACTCACCGAGGGTGGAGGAGAGAGCCAGGTCGGTGTGGAGGGTGGCGCCGGTGACCACCAGGACCGTACACTTGCAGGGGTCGAGGGCAGCAGCCACAGCACCTGCCTCGCTGTCACCACTGCTGTAGTAGCACACCACCTCCGCCCGGGGCCTCACCTCCCCGCACCCGTCTGTAAGGGGGAGTATACCGTCAGTCTGCTGTTACAGCCACTCTACACCCCGGGGGCATGTCCCCTACACCCACCCACACGCTCTTGTCAACTGTCGCATACACACGCCCCAGTATCATACAACCATCACTAATAACTGACCAGAGAGAAGGTGGGGATGGGGGGGGGGCAGAGAGGTGGGGCAAGGGGGAAAGACAGACATACAGCCAGATAGACCCGGGCAACGCCGGATAACCCCCCTCCCTCGCCTCTAGTACATATATATACATACAGGAGAATATCCGTTTGTATGAGACTTTAGGCGACATGCTTAGGGCTAGCCTCATTAAACTTTTCAGCATTAACGGTTATTTTATTGGGGGTGTGAGGGTCGTCCCAGTGCCCTATGAAGCACGACCCTAATGGCCCATCTTTACCGAGGTCTGTAAATGTGAAATGTTCGGTGTAAAGTCCATAGACTTTAGCACCAGTTTTAAATAATTGTGAATTAAGTTTATTGACTTTTAAAACATGTTCAGGTGACAGATTTGCGTTCTGGGTGCAACCTTATAGCTACATTGATGGGGGAAGGCGTGTGTGGACAGGGAAGGGGGAGACGGGGAGGGCAAGCATGCTGGGAGGAGACGGGGAGTGTGAACTGGAGGAATGGAAAGCGTTTGTGAGGGGTACATGGGGGGAGGGTGTATAGATGGGAGATGGAGAGGACGTATGAGAGAAGACCCGGGTACCGCCGGGTACCTCATCTAGTACATCATATCCTACCAGACATGTTTCATACCTGTTGTGTACCCTAAGTCAATGTCGGCCACGGTGTTCATATTATGTTTATGGGGGGAGAGAGGGAGGGAAGAGTCTGCCCCCCCCCTAGTGAGAGCACAACCAAAGCACAGAGCCACAGAGCCAGAGCTCAACCCCCGGCAAGCACAATTAGGAGAGCACGTGACACAAACACAAGGGCCGCTCCTCCAGGCAACAGCTAATGCACCCAACCTCTGTTTTTCAGCGCCGCCGGAGGCGAGAAATATTACATTAGCTTCGTAGGGGCTTCCCCTGAGGGAGTGAGAGGCTCCGGGGGGTCGGGGGGTCACAGGGGACGGAGGGGGGGGGATAGGAAGGTGAGGGAGGGGGAGGGGTAAGGGAGAGAAAGGGGGGCGGGGCGTCAAGATCAAAACACTGATGACGTCAGGGCCTCGAGACTCCGCCCACGTCTCCTGAGACGCCGGGTGGGGGGGAGGGGGAGGAGGGAAAGGGGGAAGGAAGGGGAGAGGGAGGAGGGAAAGGGGGAAGGAAGGGGAGGGGGAGGAGGGAAAGGGGGAAGGAAGGGGAGAGGGAGGTGTCTTACACCCTCAGGGGGGCGGCGACACCAAAATTGTATCAAGTAAGCCATTAAAACCAGATTAGTTTACTAACCAAAGAACATGTACCGTCGTGGTGCCCACAAGCTTAAGCTACAGTCAACCCCACCCCCAATTCCCCCCCCACACCCCACCAAAACAAAATAGCTCTTACCGTAAATAAAACACGACACAAGAACCACAGGTTGAAAGACGACTGACAGATAAATTAGAGAGTCGACTTTGATCCGCGAGAGTGACGGGACCGGCCGGAGGCGTTCGACGCCCGCCATTTAAAAGTGGCGCCAATCCAATTACTGGCGGCGAGGCAGGCGACGACTCCTGGGCCTCCCCGATGGCTACTGATACAACACGACTACTCAGCACGACCTCACAACACCACCACACAACACCACCACACAACACTACCACACAACACCAACACAACACGACCACACAACACCACACCACCACACAACACCACCACACAACACTACCACACAACACCACCACACAACACTACCACACAACACCACACACAACACCACCACACAACACAACACCACACCACCACACACACACACACAACACCACAACACCACACCACCACACACACACACACAACACCACAACACCACACAACACCACCACACACACACACACACACACAACACCACAACACCACACAACACCACCACACACACACACACACACACACACAACACCACACCACCACACACACACACACAACACCACAACACCACACAACACCACCACACACACACACACAACACCACACAACACCACAACACCACACAACACCACCACACACACACACACAACACCACACAACACCACAACACCACACAACACCACCACACAACACAACACAAGCCTCTCACTATGACTCTCCCACTTGCTGCTACTCTATTGTTTGTGGCGCCAACCTCACCCAAGCCGTCTACACTCCCTGGTTAACTTATACTAATTACGTACAGATCAGCTGCGAACATCCTCAGTCATCACATATACTTCAACAGATCATTAACTTAACTTGAGAGAGAGAGACAAAGCTCTCTATATAGTCTTCTGGTACAGTAGATATATAACAAATATTTTACATCAGAAAACTTAAAATAATGATAAGAATAATTATAAGTACTCGGATCCTAACCCGAATTATAATTTCAAAAAAATACAAAGATAAACAGTTAATGAAAATAATAATTATGAGAGAGAGAGAGAGAGAGAGAGAGAGAGAGAGAGAGAGAGAGAGAGAGAGAGAGAGAGAGAGAGAGAGAGAGAGAGAGAGAGAGAGAGAGAGAGAGAGAGAGAGAGAGAGAGAGAGAGAGCACTTACGGACGGAGGCGAGGAGGAGAGGGACACACAGTAGCGAGGCCCACATCACGAACACTGGAAAAATAAAATTATGAAATTAATATCACGATCAGCATTGCAAGTTCATATAGTTGAACCAAACCAAGACCAAACCTGGATCCCCCCCAACATGAATCAAACATGAGGGGACAAAGCTCTCTGGTCCACTGGGGGACTACACACTACCTGACGGAGGGTACAGTTGACAGTAGCTAACACGAATGAACAACAACTGTCTGAAGAACAAAAGGATTTGCCACAAATTGGCAGGTAGGCCTATATGTCTTGTCTCATATGAGCCAATAGGCCTACTTTACTTACAACAAAAGACCTAATGCATTGTTCTTACATAATGGTCTTAATGAGGAAGATAATGAGGTGATAGTGATAAGCCAATAGTGAATATGGAGGATTATGGTGACTGTGATAGTGACGAATACAGTGACATCACTACAATACAGTGACAACACTACAATACAGTGACAACACTACAATACAGTGACAACACTACAATACAGTGACAACACTACAATACAGTGACAACACTACAATACAGTGACAACACTATAATACAGTGACAACACTACAATACAGTGACAACACTATAATACAGTGACAACACTACAATACAGTGACAACACTAGAATACAGTGACAACACTATAATACAGTGACAACACTACAATATAGTGACAACACTACAATACAGTGACAACACTATAATACAGTGACAACACTACAATACAGTGACAACACTACAATACAGTGACAACACTGCAATACAGTGACAACACTACAATACAGTGACAACACTACAATACAGTGACAACTCTACAATACAGTGACAACACTACAATACAGTGACAACTCTACAATACAGTGACAACACTACAATACAGTGACAACTCTACAATACAGTGACAACACTACAATACAGTGACAACACTATAATACAGTGACAACACTACAATACAGTGACAACACTAGAATACAGTGACAACACTATAATACAGTGACAACACTACAATATAGTGACAACACTACAATACAGTGACAACACTACAATACAGTGACAACACTATAATACAGTGACAACACTACAATACAGTGACAACACTACAATACAGTGACAACACTATAATACAGTGACAACACTACAATACAGTGACAACACTACAATACAGTGACAACACTATAATACAGTGACAACACTACAATACAGCGACAACACTATAATACAGTGACAACACTACAATACAGTGACAACACTAGAATACAGTGACAACACTATAATACAGTGACAACACTACAATATAGTGACAACACTACAATACAGTGACAACACTATAATACAGTGACAACACTACAATACAGTGACAACACTACAATACAGTGACAACACTGCAATACAGTGACAACACTACAATGCAGTGACAACACTACAATACAGTGACAACACTACAATACAGTGACAACACTACAATACAGTGACAACACTACAATACAGTGACAACACTACAATACAGTGACAACTCTACAATACAGTGACAACACTACAATACAGTGACAACACTACAATACAGTGACAACTCTACAATACAGTGACAACACTACAATACAGTGACAACACTACAATACAGTGACAACTCTACAATACAGTGACAACACTACAATACAGTGACAACACTACAATACAGTGACAACACTATAATACAGTGACAACACTACAATACAGTGACAACACTACAATACAGTGACAACACTACAATACAGTGACAACACTACAATACAGTGACAACACTACAATACAGTGACAACACTACAATACAGTGACAACACTAATGTAGTCCATGGTGAGGTCAGCAATACTCACCATTAAGATTCAGGTTCATTCACTCTCACTGGGAACCTGTGGAGGGAGAAAGACAGTAATCAGAGAAATAATAATCATTGATAATTGACCTGTGTGTGTGTGTGTGTGTGTGTGTGTGTGTGTGTGTGTGTGTGTGTGTGTGTGTGTGTGTGTGTGTGTGTGTGTGTGTGTGTGTGTGTGTGTGTGTGTGTGTGTGTGTGTGTGTGTGTGTGTGCTCACCTAGTTGTGCTTGCATATGTCTAATTGAGTAGACTTCGATCCCTTGGGCCACCCTGGACCGCCCTGGACCACCCTGGACTACCCTGGACCGCCCTAGACTACCCTGGACCACCCTGGACCGCCCTAGACTTCCCTGGACCGCCCTGGACCGCCCTGGACTACCCTGGACCACCCTGGGCCACGCCCTGGAGCACCCTGGGCTACGCGCTGGACCACCCTGAACCACCCTGGACCACTCTGGACCACCCTGGACCGCCCTGAACCACCCTGGACCGCCCTGAGCCACCCTGGACCCTCTGTGGGCACAGCAAAATGCCCGGTGCCGTCATTGCACACGGCGCCACTTGTGTAAGGAATCATTCAGAACTTCGTATATCACATATGTCAGACCAATAGTGGAGTATGCAGCTCCAGCATACTTTATTTATAATTTATTTATAAATCCAAATTAGTCAAAGAACACGAAATTGAACATTTGACTCTCTGTAAAGCATATTATTTATTGGTCAGAGTTCCGTCTTCTATCGAGGACTGGCTTTTCTTCCTCTTGAATAACGGCGTTGTTTCTGACTCAAGAAAGCCCTGGGTAAATACTGGTTTGGAAATAGGGGGTGGTTAATCTGTGGTACAATAGGCGTGAGCCACGCTTGGTTGTTTCAAGCGTAGGTTAGACATGTATATGAATGAGTTTGGGTGGATATATATTAGGTAGGGGCCAATATAGGCCTTGTGCAGTGTGCTTAGTTCTTGTGTTCTCCAACTTTAGGGGGGGGGGGAGGTTGTTCTACTGATACTATTTGATTTGTTATAGATTATTATTTCAGAAGTGAGACGAGTGAATGAAGTTATATTCGATTATAATTATTATATGAAGAATGAAGTTATGAAGTTATATATTGAGTGAAGTTATATATATTATATATAAAATGAAGTTATATATATTATATATAAAATGAAGTTATATATATTATATATAAAATGAAGTTATATATATATAAGTTGAAGTTATATATTAACCAAACCGGAGTTGTTGTTCATCCAGTCTATGATATTATTGAACACAGTGTTCACCGGGAGAACACAGTGTTCACCGGGAGAACACAGTGTTCACCGGGAGAACACAGTGTGAACACTCCCCCCCCCCCTCTACGTTTTAATCAGTTAAAAATACCTTTAAGAAACGTAAATATGTCCGCCTCATTATATTTCAGGTGTTTAATCAGCCTAAACACCACCTTACTCGATTAAGTAAATATTTCATACTAATCTAACCACACCTAGTCTAACCCTAACCCTTCCTAACCTAGCCTAAACCTAAACCTAACTCATCCTAACCTAACCCATCCTAACCTAACCTAACGTAAACCTAACCCATCCTAACCTAACATAATTAGACCTTGCTTAAGCGAACATAACTATCCATGTACATTTACCCTAAAACAAAACAAAAAACAAAAAAGAGTACTTTAATACGCGCGTAAACTAAGTACAGTTGTTACGCTATTATGTAGCCTAACACTTACAAAAGTTTACATGCACTCTAAGCAATAGTGACTAAGCAACAGTGACTATAGTGACCATAAGCAATAAGTCTTATATATGCTGTCTTGTGCGAGAGCGGGTTGCCACTCGCACCATGAAGGGAAACAAATAACTTCAACACATATTAAAAACAAATCTTCAGAGTTACCCCTCGAAGCCATACAGACCGTTCTCTCCAGGCGCCACAATCGCCACAAAAATGACGTATTAACACGGACTAAGCGAGGACCAACCCAAAGAAAACGGGAGTGCTCGTCGATGTTTACAAGCCGCTCATGATTTTAATACATTATATTTTGATGCTGGGGGGGGGGGTGTATATACGTCAAAATACGGGGTGCTATTGGAGAGGAGAGGGCGGCCTTGTTGTGCCCGCCAGCGACCAAGCCACGCCCTTTCCCTCAGAGGAAAGGGAAAGGATGTTAAGGTCAAGGTCTGGTGACCCTGGTAGAGGAAGGTCACAGGAGGTAGTAAAGGTGAGGCGACCAGACACACGCCCAGCAATACTAGAGAGAGCGTCCCCAAGATGACCCTCTGACCTCTGACCTCGCAGGAGGTCACAGGTCACAGGGTAACCCTTCTACCAACACTTGCATTAGTCACATGAAATAAATCCTCCTATTACTGCCCACAATTGATTTATCGCACACACAACACCGCTCCTGTGCCAGGTAAGTCCACTAGGGGCTCACCATAGCCCGTGCTACTTGGAACTTGTTCTGAGTAGCTGAATCTATAACAACTGTTTATCGCATCGCTGTGTTGCTGAGTCACACACCTGTGGCCACACCCTCAGGCACTTGTCCGTGCCTCATGTGATGAGTCTGGCCTCGCTAATATAGTGTCGGCTTGATTAGTTTTCTGGGTCTCCCTGAAGGTGGGTGCCCAGCGTCTCTCAGCTGTACTGTGAGGTAGATAGGTATCAGCCAATGGAGACGCATACGTGTAGTCCCATACGACCTGTTTACCTTCCCTCCACGACTGCAGGGTGACTCCATCTGGGCGTTTGTGGCTGCTATCAGGTCTGCACAACTGGGGTTCCCTTTGTGCTAGACATCCAGCTGTAGCCAAACTTCTCTTGATGATGTTATTGACTGCTTCATGTCTGGCAATCTTTCCCTGTGTCTTACGACAGATGAGACCATGGCTGCCGTATTGGTCTGCCCGTGCATGGCCGCAAATACACCGGTGCTCGGTGGAGATAGGGGCGGCAAGGCGCAGAGCAACACCAATACTTAGGGTCCGATGGTCCAGGCGGGTGCCCAAGGCGGAATTAGAGACTGTCAACAGGAAGTCCCCAGCCAGGGGAGCTTGCACAGCTAGGAGATACGCTCTGTCCTTCCCAGAAGCTGTCCTTCCTATTGATTTTAGGAGCGCGTCATATTCTGTTAATTTTGGGCTGTCGAAGGAGGGAGCGCACCTTAGGAAATAGGTCAGTCTGGGCAAGGCCAGGCACCTTGTGAGAAGGTACAGAGCATCGTGGGCGTCCAAAGCCCCTATTCTTCCCTCCATCCTCCTCAGGTCGTTCAGCTTTTCTTCGAGGACTACCTCAATGGTGCTCGAGCCCAGAGGTGCCCCTAGCAGCACACTGTCGGTGGGAGCGATCATTGGGGCTCCTGGCAATATGGTTCGCACTGCATCTATGGTTGGTTGGCAAGATGAGATGATTTCACACTTTGATGGATTTAGAGTGAGTTCTAATTCCCCTCCCTTAGATTTCACCAGCTGTAGATCCCCTAAAAAGGGACTCCTGTGTCCCTGCCAGGGTGCCATCGTCCAGGAACCAGATGTTGAGTTCGCTGGACAACCTGCTTGTGACCTCTTTAGCTGCCATGCAGAAAAGGAAAGGTGCAAGTGGGTCTCCCTGCTGGACACCTTCTGCAGAAACAACTTTCTGTTCCCCAAACAACAGTGTCGATTCCCTACTGTACCCTGCTGAGACGAAGGGGGAGTAGGCTAGGAAAGCTTGTTCGAGCTGCTTCCAGTACCACCTCATCCCTTTTTACCTGGTTGAAGGCATTTTTAAAGTCTAATTTAATTATTGCCTTGCTTTCTGGCAGATGATTAATATAGGCTCGTGCTGCACGAGCTGCTGCAATTATATATATATATATATATATATATATATATATATATATATATATATATTATATATATATATATATATATATATATATATATATATATACACAGCACTAACCAGTAACCACCTAGAGGCCAGGCTGTGGTTGTGATGATGCTGCTGTGCCACATCTTGTAGGATTGTTACAACGGGGTTCCCGGCCGCCTGACCTTAACGACCTGGTTCACCTGTTCCCTCGTCCAATGTGCTCCTTACAGTAGCTCTGGTCACCCCGCCTCGGCTGCTGATGCTTGATGAACCATCAACCCGAGGAAGACTGCAGAATCTCCCACGATGGTCTTGACAACCTCCCGGAGTGGGCAAACGGGTGGTTGCTAGTATTCAACCCCACCTATGTGTAAAGCAATGACGCTAGGAAAGGAAGAGGGGGGACCAGGAGGTGTCTACATCATAAGGGGGAAGGCGGCTACAGGAGACGGAGAGAGAGAAGAGGGTTTGGGAGTGGGTATAACCCCAACAGCATCTCCAGAGGCACACATAAACACGGTAACATCAGCAGCATATGCGACGCTGGTGAACATCAGAACATTGTTTAAACACCTAAATTAGACCTCCTTCAAGGCAACGACAAGCTGTACCTACTTCCATAGACCAATACTGGAATACGCAGCACCAGCCTGGAATCCACACCATCTTAAAGCCTAAGATCTAAGACCTAAGCCTTAAACCTAAGTGAAAAAAGTACAAAGTTTGGAACAAAGATTAGATTCTGAGATAAGTCGACTAAGGTGTGAGGACAAGTTAAGGGAACCAAACCTCACAACTCTGGAGGAGAGAACACACGGAAGATGGGACATGATCGCCACATACAAGTTACTGAGGGTAAGTGACAAGGTAGCCATGGACAGGTTCTTAAAGTGAAAGTACGACAACAGGACACAACTGGAAGCTGGAAACACAAATAAGTCGAAGGAAATACCTTCGACTCGAATATGAGAATAAGGAAATACCTTATACGGCTGAACAACATTGTACCCCACCCTGTACGGCTGAACAACACTGTACACCACCCTGTACGCCTGAACAACACTGTACACCACCCTGTACGGCTGAACAACACTGTACACCACCCCTGTACGGCTGAACAACATTGTACACCACCCTGTACGGCTGAACAACACTGTACACCACC